TTCTAGAGGTCTCATTGTCTCCTGGTCTTCTTCTAGAGAGATCAGTGACTCCTGGTTTTCTTTTTCTGGAGACCTCAGTGGCTCCTGGCTTTCTCTTTCTAGAGGCCTCATTGTCTCCTGGTTGTCTTCTAGAAACCTCAGTGACTCCTGGTTTTCTTTTTCTAGAGGTCTCAAAGTCTCATGTGTCTCATCTTCTGGAGACCTCAGGGATTTACGATTCTCTTTTCCTAGAGGTCTTGATGTCCCCTGGTCTTCTTCTTCTAGAGATCTTAGTGGTTCTTGATTATCTTTTGCTAGAGGCCTCAATGTTTCCTGGTTCTCTACTTCTTGAGATCTCAGTGGCTCTTGACTCTCCTTTTCTAGAGCTCTCAATGACTCAAAGTTCTCCTCTTCTAGGGACTTCACTAATTCTTGGTTTTCCTTTCCTAGATATACAAACGTCTCTATGTTGCCTTCAAGAGACCTCATTATTTCCTGATTCTCCTTTTCTAGAGATTGCAATGTCTGTGGGTCCTCTTTTCCTATAGGCTTAAGTAGTTCTAGAGTCTCTTTTTCTAGAGGTCTTGCTACCTCCATATCCTTTTCTTCTAAAGATTTCAATAACTCTTGATTCTCCCTTTCTGGAGTTTTTAGTGTTTCTAAGTTCTCTTCTTCCAAAGACCTCAGAGATTCTCTTTTCTCCTTCTCTAGAGATCTCACTGTCTCATGGCTCTGTTTTTCTAGAGACCTCAGTGGCTCCTGAATCTCCTCTTCCAGAGACTTCAGAGTTTCTTTTTCCAAAGGACCCTGGGAGTCTTGGATTTCTTTCATGTCAAGGTTCCCCTCTTCTTGCCATGTTTCCTGTTGCAAGCTGCTCACTACTTTGACCTCTATGGCTGTTTCTTTCTCTGTCAGCTCCCAGATTTGCCCTTCACTTTCCTCTTGGAATCTGTTGGACTCTCTAGACCCACCGAGTTCTCCATCTTTGGCTTCTAAACTGGGGTGGTCAGAGCTGAGGGCTGGGGCCAAGGAGACATGATCTTCAGGGGACTGGCCTGGACTGGCCTCTTGCTGCCTGCCCCCAGGCTCCTCTGGTCCTGGCAGGACACTGGCAGGAATGGCCACCTTGGCTTCAGCCCACATGGCTTCTGAAGCCTGTTGTCTCCCAACCCGTGGCTGGAGCAAGGAGAGAGGGGCATCGTGGGCTCTGATCTCAGCATCTGTAGCAGGACAGGGAGCCTGAGGTGTGGGTGGGATGGGAGTGCTGGCCGAGGTGGGGGTACGGGTCTGAAGGAATTCCTGGCTCTTCAGAAAGGCTGGCACAGGTGTCTCAAGGGTATCAGGCAAGGGTGAGGAGAGGGGAGTAGGGCTCAGGACAGAGAGCAAAGGTCCCAGACGCCGGCCCTCGGGGGTCCCAGGGACATGCAGCTCCAGCTTAGGGTCTGGAAAGGCAGAGGGGAAGAAACAGTGTCAGGATGTACTGGTTGGGGGAGCAGCTACCGCTTCTGGCAAGAGTGCTCATGGGCCCTGCTCCTGCCTCCCACCGGCTGGGCTAAGAGTATGCTCGCTGCTGTGGGGGGCTCCATTGTCAAGACTGAGACTGGTGACTCTCAGGAAGGGAATCGCTCTGGGGTATAAAGAGGAAAGAAGGGTAAAGTTCTGGTGGGGAACCTGGCCCCTCCTCTTACCCAGGTAGCTGAGGGGAGCCTTGGAAGCACTGCCAGGTGTCTGCAGCCGGGAGTTCTCAGCCTCCAGGAGGGTCCTGGGGACAGGGAGGGAAAGCTGGGTCAGTCCTCTGTTCCCAGGCCGGTAGGCAAGCCAGCTAGGGAAAAGTCACAGCTGAGCATGCGCATTCTGTTCCATTCAGCACAGCCAGCTTCCTCCTTATTTCCACCACTATCACACAAAAGCCACATGCAGGGTTATACTTGGCTATGCACATGAAATTGCATGGTCACATCCACAGATATCACGCACTTGGTCACACGAGTCAGACACTTATTTGGGGTACACAGCTGGGCTCACAGACACACAAGCAGATTCCCACACGGTTGGATGACACAGTGTACACACACCCACCAATGCTGAGACTATCTCCTCCCCACCCCAGGCCTATGACTTCATCCTCTGTGTGGGGGGCCGATTCTCATGCTAATTGCTGCCTTTGTCCACACTGCCATCTGGAGGGTCTGAGTAGGGGGCTTCCCAGGGGAAGTGGGAATTCTCAGGCCGTTCCCATGGGATAGGCTCCCTCCTCCCCCAGGGCCCCCAGAGCTGGTCACAGACAAAAGCGAATGAATTCAGCTCCCTCTTTCCAAACCCTTTTCATGCCTCAAAACCCAGCGGTTAAGCCTGCCCAGACCCTTCCCCTCACTGGTTTGCTTAGGGGTCAAGGACCTCATCTTGTGATCTCTAAGTACTCTGGATTCCAAGCCCTTCAGGGCAACGGAGGTCTTTATGTCTATGCCCCTGCCTTAGCGCCCCACGGTGATGGAGGAGGAGGGGACCAACAGAGGGAGGGAGGACCAATCAATTTAGCAAGTGATGCTGAACATCTGTCTCCTCTGTGTTCTTCTTCATGACCTCTGAGTCTGGTTAGTGTTGTCTATGGTCTCACCTCTGTCCTTCCCGTTGCAGCATTATGCTTTCTGAGCTCTGTGCTCCATGGAGGTGGAGCCTTTCTCCTCCTCATCCCTAGATCCTCACTGACCTTCCCTCTCTGGGCCCTTCCTCCCCTCCCCAGGGTCCCTGGCTTTGCTTGCTTGTGGATTCTGAGGGCACAGTCCTCCTGCCTGTCCAGCCCTGGCCCTGACCCTGCAGGCTTGGGGTATGCAGCCCTTCACAGTGGCAAAGCCTCTTCCTCAGACTCCATCACTGGAACCTTGGCTAACCAGGTTTGTTCAAGGCCACAGAGCCAGAGAAGCAGCACTTCCTCGGCCTCAGCCTTTCCTGAGCCAACAGGGAATGTGGTCAGTAGAGGGGCAGGGCAGGGCCAAGGGCACTAGGGCTTGAAAGGAGTCAGGCCCCAGGACATGCAGGATGAAAGGAACTTTGGATGTCACTCAGCTAATCTCCCATTGTCCAGACAAAGAGACTGAGGACCAGGTCAGGTGGCAAGTCAGTGCGACCACTGCACACCTGCAATTCCTCCTTCCCGAGGCAACCCAAGGACATCACCCTCTCAGTATGAGCACACAGACAGACTGGGTTTTTCAGCCCCTTGGAGAAAGGGTCTGGATGTGGATGACCCACATGTGTCCAGCCCTCCCTCCTGAGGCTGTCCCACTCAGCTGTATCACCTGTCCTTGGAGGATTTCCTGGGTACAGGATACCTCTCTAGTCCTGAACCCACAGGAGGAGCAGGTGGGCTTAGGTGGGACACATTGTGATGTGGAAGGGATCAGCCTAGAGTCGCAGGACCTAGTGGTGGCAGAGCTGACACCGCCCGTGGCTGTGGGCCCCTTCAGCCAGGAGAATACCCTGGCGTGTAAATGTGCATCTCAGTGTCTGGGTGGGTCAGTGTCAACATGGTACCTGTATGTGGCCACCTCCAGGCTGAGGGACATCTTGAGGTGTGCCAGCTGCTGCCGACCTTCGAGGACCTGGGCGATCTGGCTCTGTAGGCCCTGTTTCTCCTGCTCCAGGGCCTCCACTGCCAGCTGCAGAGCAAGTCAGAGGCAGTCAGTGAAGGGGCGGGGTCCTTCCTGCCAGCTAACTTGCATCCCCTTTGGCTGCTGCAGCAGCACCTTCTGCTCCTTGAGGAACTTCTCTGCAGAGCAGATTCCTGCCTCCCCTACTACCCCACTCTCTGCCTGGAGAACCCCCTCTGGAGCCTCCGATGAGAAGAGCACAGGGGCCCCTCTCAGCCCTCTCCCACGGCCTGGCTCCTCCTCCGAGGATGCTGATTAAATGGTAGCACATGCTGCTCAGAATTCAGCTCCCACAGGAAGGAGGAGGTGAAGGAGGAGAGGAGATGGGTTACAGGGAGGAGGAGAGGGGGAAAAAAAAGTGGAAGCAGAAGGAAAAACGATTAATCAAGAGGCCCGGAGCCTGCAGGACTGGAAGCCAAGCAGCCCCAGTCCCAGTCACTGTCTCCTGCTCCCCACACCAGGCCCCTACCCCCTCCACTTCCCACATGTTCTGGAATCTTTCTCCTCTGAGAGGAGGGGTGGGGAGGTGGCTATGATGAGACCTCTGTCTGGCTCAGGCAGAAGGCTGTTTTCTCAGCTGCTGGTCACATCTGCGCAGTGTGAGGGGGAGCAGCTGTCCCAGGCGTCTGGAATGTGCTGGAGAGCTGAGAAGCCCTGACAAGGGAGAAGGGCTGGTGGCCCCTCACCCAGGGCCCCTCACCCTCTCCTGTCAGGGGGAGGAGGGAGGTTGGGAACTTGGAGGTTCTGAGTAGCCAGACCATCAAACTCAGCCTGAGAGGGAAAGTCCTGGGCATCTTCTGAGTGACAGCAGAGCCTAGGGAGGGGCCCAGGGGCCCGCAAGGTTGGAAGGTACCATCCAGACAGTGAGGAAGCTGCTGGAACATCTTGGGCCTGTCTGTCCTTCCAGGGAGTACTCTTTAAGGGGGCTCTGAACCCCCTTTAGGCCAGCCCTACTCTAGACAGAGTTGTGAAAGTCTACTCCGGTGGCTCTAAGCATAGTTTTTCTAAGAAGTGGCCCCTGAATCCGCAGCCACTCCCACTCCTCAATCCCTTCCCCAGGTCTCTGAGCCCCAGAGGGACATCTCGAAGCCTTGTCCTGCCCAGGCCCCCGACTTGCTCACCTGGAACTTCTCAGTGGCCCGCAGCCGCTCCTGCCAGCGGCTCTCCAACCTCTGCTCCAGCGCGGCCCTGCGCTCCTGGAGGCCGCCGCGCTCCGCTTGGAGCTGCTGCAGCTCCAGGCGACCCTCGCGGGCGCCCTGCACGGCGCGGCCCAGACGCTCGCGGGCCTGGCCCAGCGACGCCTCCATCTGCGCCACGCGCTCCTGGTAGCCGCGCACTGCCCCGCGCCACGCCTCGCCCAGCCGCCGCGCCAGCTCCTCCACCTCGGGGGCCGGCGCGGGGGGCCCGCGGGGCGGAGCGGGGCCACGGGGGGCGCAGGCAGCCTGGGCGTTCAGGCCCGCGCGCTCCTCCTCGTGCGCCGCGCGCAGAGCCTCCAGCTCGCGCTCCAGCTCCGCCGCCTGGGTGCTCAGCCAGGCCTGGGCGCATTTCTCGGCCTCGACCGCGCGCCGGACTGTGGGCCACCTCCTCTGTCGTCCGCTCCCGGGCCAGCCGCAGCTGTTGGCACCGGCCCGCCACGCTCTCTACCTCTTCTGCCAGGTTATCGCGCGCCACTTCGGCCGCGTGCTTCTCCCGCCAGCGCTGGTCGACGAGGGCTCTCAGGGCCGCCAGCTCGTCGTCGGCACGAGCTCTCCAAGAGGCGTCCCCGGACTGTGCCCGGAGACCCCCGAGCTCCGCGCTAAGCAGCTCATTCTGCTCTTCTAGCGCCTTGACCCGGGCCAGGTAGGCCTCCAGGCGCCGGTTGAGCTCCCACATCTGAAACGATTCCTCCCCTAGGCAGCCCTCCATCCTGCTCGTCTGACCCACCGAAGGTGGAGAGACGCGGAGCACTAGGAGAAGCCAGCAGCTCGCAAAGCTTTTAGGACGAAAGGGAAAAGGATACGGATGGGGACAATGACGGGGCGGGGCGAAGAGAGCCGGAGCAACTCAGAATCGGGAGTGGGAGCGAGGCTATTCATACTCCCGCCAGCCTGGCGGGAAAAGGGGCGGGACCCAGACCTTAACCCCTTAGAGTTCAGAGAAACGGCCGCAGCCTCTGTCCCCGCAGCCCGGCGTGCTGGAGAGTGGAACTAAAGGAAAATCTATGCCTGGAGAATCCGATCCGACGGTGGTGGCTGTCTGGGGGAGGAGGCCTTGAGGAAGGTTCATAACTCCAGATAAAAGCAGATTATGCACAGAATTGAGCCTGTGGAGGAGACTGCCAGGGGATTCAGGCCTGCGAGGGAGTGGAGTCTCAGTTACTCCGCACACGCAAGAGAGGTACCACTTACTGAATTCCTTCAAGACTCAGTTTCTTCATCCATAAAATGGGAGCAATGATGGACCTCTTACCGGACTGCAGAGAGGATAGATGTGGCCATGTTTTAGGTAAATAGCAAATGCTCACCCTCCTGAAATACTGGAAGAAGGCAGAATTCCTGAGAGGTTAGAAAGAGACTACCTGGAAAACAAGAACAAATATGTTAGCTGTATTGGGAGATTGCCTATGTGCGCGCGCGCGCACACACACACACATCCTATTTCCTCAGTCTCCACGGGGAAACGGAGAGATCGGGCAAAAAGGTGTTTCCCCCACTATTCACTTCCATTCTTCCTGCCTTTCGTTCATATAACCTGAGTTTCACATACTCTCTGTTTAGGTAGTGGAAAGGGCACCCATCCTGTCCTTAGTATCGGATTTTTTGGGTGGATGGCGCCCCCTGGTGGCTTACAGACCAGGCCAAGAAGAGGAAACAGAAAGAGGCGAGCTCTTAGTCACAACTAGCCCACATCTATCGAGCCTTTGTCATGTGCCAAATCATGTTCCAACATTTTATTTATGTTATCTGACTGAATCCTCAAAACATCCCTTTGTGGGTTTCACAGTTCAGGAATCTAAGAGCTCACTGAGGGTGGGAATAATTGGGAAGGCCTTGAGGAGGAGGTCCTTGAACTGGGGAGTGGGGTAGAGAGGAACAGGCGGGATTTGGGGTTTGTAAACGGGAGGCAGGATCGGAGAGGGAGAATCAGGAATTCTGAGACTGAGGGGATCTTTGTGCTTACATAAATCAAGTTTAGCTCTACAAGTGTTAATTGAGCACCCACTGTGTGTCAGCACTCTGTCCCAGCCCTGGAGGAGCTTGTAGTTTGGTGATGTGAGGGCAAAGGTGATGGGTAGTGGAGGTAAACAAAATAAGATTATTACAATACTTGGCACCTGAGGTGTCCAGAGAGACCTGGGGGAGCACAGAGAGCAGAGAGGGTTTTCTGGGTAGGGGGAATGAGCAGAAGGCCATCCCACCAATACCCTTGCCCCTGTCCCCAGGCCAACTGGGCTTTGGGAACTCACCCCCAATATGTGAAGCTGGCAGGGAGGGGCCAGTGGGTGTGGTGCAGGCGGACTGACTGAGACTTAATGCAGACCAGGAGGCTGAGGCTTCTCCATCCCTACTTTACCTCACAAATCCTGCTGTTTGGTTTGGGCTGGGACATCCCAAGAGTTGTGTCCAGGGGAGCTGACTTGGAGGCTCTCCCTCCTCTTTCACTTCCTGGCTGTGGGGAGAGAGAAGCTGAATACTTGAGATTCCCTGGAATCCTTGAGCAGGTGCCCTGGAGACGTGGGATGGCACTAGGGTGAGGAGTTTCTCTCCTGGACCCCTCACTCTCACCCAGAGAGGAGACATTTGGCACCGTGTCTCATGGAAAGAGCACTGAATCTGACTTCTACACTTTCTAGCTGAATGACCTTAGATGAATCACATAGCTTCTTCAACTGAGCCTCAATTTACCTATTTGGTAAAGGAGGTTAATACTGAATCATCCCCAGGCATTTGTTCTGAGGATCAAACAAGACCACACATGTTAAGGTCTTTGTACAAAGCCTTTCTGAGGACCATCACCATGAAAGCCATCAAGCTAGAGCAAACTCTCTTCGCATGAACTGCTCTCGGTGAGTTCTGGGAGCCATGGGGAGCAGAGATGATCTGGAACGCTGGAGAAGAGCGGAGTGTTGCTTTTCCTAAAGCAAGAGAACCTGGGTGCCAGCCAACACAGCTGGCAGAGCTGACCCCAAGGCGCAGTCAATTCTAAGCAGACAAATGATAATTGTGGTGATGAGAAACTGAGGAAAATGAGGCCCTCCATGGGTCAGCAGGCACTCAGTGGGCAAAATGTGGGCCCGGTGTCATCTACTTCCCCCGGGGGTTGCACTGGGTTATTAGGATTTCTGTGAGGCCTTTTGCTGCACTTCTTATGTCCCTGGGCCCAGGACACGTGGGCTAAGTGATGCGACAGCCGGTGGATACAAAGTTCAGTAGCCATCCCCAAGGATGTCCGTGAGAAGCCTGAGAATGGCTCTGTGGGCTGCCCCGCAGGGTTCTATCCTTGGTCCTGACAATCACAAGTTATTTATTTGTTTGTTTGTTTGAACTGTCAACTAGACCAAAGAAAGCGCTGCAAACAATGCTAATAATGCTACTCAAAAGTGAGACGTGTGTATAGCTGTTATATTATGACTAACACAAAAAATTAAGAAAATACTCTCTGGCATTCAAAACTTTTATCAGACTCAGCAAAGAAACAAGTTTTTATTAAAGACTTGAATACATGGTGGGGTCTGTTTGTTTGTTTTTAATGGAGGTACTGGGGATTGGACCCAGGACCTCATACATGCTAAGCATGTGCTCTACCACTTAGCTCTACCCTCCCCGCAACAAGGTTCTATTAAAGACTTGAATAAAAACACAGAAGCCTTATTAATCAAATCTACATATTATGCAAAAACTAAGAGTTAGGTTTTGACAGAATAGGAAACAAAATGAACCAGAGGACATTTAATAGAAATAAATATAAAATTCCACTTTGGATTTCAAACAAAAATCAATAGCGTTAAAAGAGAAAAGACTAATGCCTATCTCGTGAAGAAAACCTGAGAGTTTTAGCAGACCACAAGCTTGCTATGAAGCAACACTGTGACGCGGCTGCCTAAGAAAGTGAAAAGGATGTAAGTGATTTAATAGTTGCAAGATGCCCATAGCAGGGGTGGTGGCATTCCCTTACTCTGTACACCTGGAGTATTGTTCTGGATACAGTATTTTAAGAGGGAAGTTGATGGCTTGGAATGGGTCCCATGGGAAGATGAGCAAATGGTAAGGGAACTTGGGATAATGTTTGATGAAAATTTTCTAAACCTACTCATGTCTCAGGATTGCAGCTACATTCCAAAACTAAAAATAATAGCCTCTAAGCACCACACATATTGTAAAGAAAGTTGCCAGACCCACCCAGAAGGCATTACTCTCCAGTCCCCGGGAGAGAAGGCAGGCTGCGTGCCACGGCACTGGAGGGCGGGGTGGCCAGCCCTGGAGGGCAGGCTGCAGTGTCCCCTCCTCTGCTCAGAGGGGAAGGGTGATGCCCATCGAGGCAAATGGGCCCGGACTTCCAAGGGGACAACTCCTCAAGGCTGGGAGTCTGCCCGAAGGGCACATTGTATCCCACTCCGGGGCAGCTGTCTTTTAGGGCAGGGGGCTTGCTCATCTGCCCTCTGAGCTTCACTGAGTAAGGGACACAGACTCCGGAGAGGGATGACCAGAAATAGAAGGGGCCACAGGGAGCAACAGGTGAAGTTACCTGTGCCAAGAGGACTCTGTGCAAGGAGCCCCCCCTTCTCTAGGGCAGCAGCTTTGGGCATCACCACCCTCAAGGGAGGGCTGCATCTGAAGGAGGCTGACTCTAGTGTGGGGTAAGTAGCACTCACCCCTGCCTCCTCCTTCCTCCTGCAGAGGAGAAAGAAGCCTCAGAGGGAATCTTCCAAAATGTCCTTAAGGGACAGGAGAGGGAGACACAACAGATTGTCACTGCAGGCAGTGGTCAGAGTTCTAAAGCTGCTTCATTTTACCTCCCCTATCTCCCACTGCTTTGCCTCATACTGCAGAGGCTAGGGCAGGGGGCAGGAAGTCACTCTTGCCCCCACCTGCCCCCATCCCTAACTTGGCCCCTCCTTTCCATCTCCCTGTCCCCTCTTCTCTCTTCCCCTCCACTTCCCAACTAGATGGGTCCTACTTGACATGTGTGGCAGGGGGTAATGTCAGCAAGGAGTCACAAGTCTTTTGACAACAAGAAAAAAGATGAGAAGAGGGAAATGAGAGGGATGGAAACCAGACAGAGGGAGGGACGACAACTTTGAGAAGCTCTGTGCCAAGTGATCTACAGAATTAGAGAGAGGGAGAGAGCCAGTGCTGAGGAAGTGGCCAGCAGAGCAGCAAACAGGCCCAGGGACCCCTCCTGGGAAGTCTGGCTTTGGCCTGAGAGCTTTGGGTACTGGCTGGACGCAGTCTTTCCATCCTGCTCTTCCCCAGCCATGTGAGGGAGGCGTGGAGCTGGAGCTGGTGCTGGGAGGTGGAAATGCTGCTTCCTTCTTCATTCTCTCCTTTCCCAACTGGAGAGGTGATGGGGTCGGCTTTGCAGCCTTCTCCTTTCCCTCATGTCGACAGCAGGGCAGATGGCCTCCAGTTCTCCATCCTAGAGGAGGGGTTGAGGGAGGGAAAGTGGGGTGAGAAAAGCATTGAACAAAGAGCCTTGGCTTTCTGTGTAACCTTGGACTAGTCTATTCACCCCTCTGGGTCTTGGTTTCCTCATTAATTTATTCAAGTAAAGTACGTATTGAATGCCTGGTGTACCATAGGCACTAAATAAATGTTGCGATAGAATAAAGAATGATTCATGTGGAGCCCTAACCTCAAGGAATCAATGGGCTTGTTGGAGGACAGACGTGGGAGTGTGAAGTGGGTAGAGAGGCATGATGAACTGGGGAGGGAGGGGGCAAAGGAGGCGGCAGTGTGATTAAGTTTGGGCCTTAACCCTCCAGGCTGCAGAAGGGTTTTAACTTCAATCGAAGGTTACCTGGTCAGATCTGCATCTTGGAAAGATCACTGCGGGGGATTGGGGTGGGTGGG